CCAAAGTAAATCTTTCTCCTTTGTTTTTCTTAGGGACTTGTCAACAGCAGTGAGAAGCTGGCTAACAAAAACACCAAGTGCATCCCTTCTCATGTTGCATCCTTTATTTTTTTTAAATTTTTTTTATTAGTTGCTCAAAACATTACAATATGAGAATCTTCACTGCCCATTATAATTGTGGAAACATGCTTGATGCTTTCAAATACCATATCCAGGGAGAAGTAACTCATTCTCACCGGGACCAGGCACTGAATCCAGGTCTGTCTGACTTCCACAGGATGGTGGCAGAGAGAACGGAGAAGCCTTCGTTCAAGAGGCATGTTGCAAAGGAACATGACAAGATTCAGTGAGAGCTTACTAGAACACACGAGAGAGAAATGTCAAATGTGTCTCTTCTTACCAGGCATTGTGCTCTCTTAATAACGATTTTGCAAAATAGAAGATATAAACACTTGAAGAACTTGAAAAAAGAGGGAGAAATCTGGGGAGTGGAAGTTCTACCCACAGAATCTGATTTACTTGGTCAATATTGGTATTATTAATATTATCATTGTTTTTAACTGTCTCAACCCACAAAAATATGGCCAGGATTACAGTCTGTTTTGTACAGGATGTGTCCTGTATTCATTTCTATTGCTGCATAACAAATTATCACAAAGTTAGCAACCTAAAACAATGGCTCTTTGTTAGTTCCTAGTCCTGGAACTCAGACATCTGGGAGGGCTCATCAGGGTTCTCTGCTAAGTGTATACAAAACCTAAATCAAGGCGTCAGCTGGCTTAGACTCTTTTTTTTTTTTTAATTTTTTATTGTTGGTTGTTCAAAACATTACATAGTTCTTGATATATCATATTTCACACTTTGATTCAAGTGGGTTATGAACTACCATTTTTACCCCGTATACAAATTGCAGAATCACATCAGTTACACATCCATTGATTTACATAGACTCTTATCTGAAGCATCTGGGGAAGGATTCTCTTGCAGGCTCATTCATGTTGTTGGCAGAATCCAGCTCCTGATACCCACAGAACCAATGCTTCTGCTACCTCAGTGGCCAAGTGCATCCCTTCTCATGTTGCTCCCTTCATTTTTTTAAAAAAAATTTTATTAGTTGCTCAAAACATTACAATGATCTTGACATATCATACATTTTGCTCCCTTCATTTTTAAGGAGTAAAGAGTGCTGATTACTTCTCATGCCTAGGATTTTTTGTAGTTCCTCTTTTACCATCATTTTCTGCTACCAGCTGGAGAAAGATCTCTGGTTCTAAGGGAAGATATGATAATTTTAGGCCAACCCAAATAATTTACTTTTTAAAAGATCAACTGATGTGGTGTAAATTTTTAGACCTTCTTCTAGAGATGTAGTCTACCATATATACCAAGTACCTAGATGAATACCTGGCTAATAGTAGGTCCCCCAAACACACTTGTTAAATGAAATTGAATAGAACGGCCACTTTTCTGGCAAAGAAAGAACCCGAGAAGGCACAGAAAATTAAAGAGTGGATGGTAAATGGATCATTTATCATATCTCGTGGAATTTAAGCATTTATTCCTTTTCAAAATTTTGTTGGGCTCTAATGCACAAATAAACTTGCACAAATCATATGTATATAGCTCAGTATGTGCTCACAAACAGTATACATGTTTGTAAATCGCATAACAACCAAGGACACCATCGCATGTGTCCCTGTGAGGCATGCTTCCAGAGCTTGCTGTTCTTCCCTGAAATTCCCTTTCCATAGTATGGGAACTACTATACCGATTTCTAATGGTATCAATTAGCTCTGTCTGGTTTTTAAATTTCATATAAATGGAAGCACTATAATATATTCTTTTTTGTCTGATTTTTTTTCACTCAACATTCTGCTTGTATGCAGCCTCTAAGATGGCTACCAGGGTCCCCTACTTTCTGTATTCAAAGTCTTGTCTAATTCCCTCCTCCTGAGGAACCTGCTTCTCATTCATATGGTAACATTGAGGGATGGCACTTTATGCTTTGTAGGTGAAGAAGAAAAACTGAAGACATCATGTACTTACTTGTATATAAATTCCAGGTGTTGCAAAATATTATGCTTTTTCTCCCAACATTTAAAAATGTAAATCACACATAGCTCTTAAATAGGTGGTGCCTAGTGGTCATAGCGGCAACATTTTATTGACTCCTGCTCTTTAGGACTATTTGGTTATATCATGATTTATTTATCTAATCTATTATTGATGAATATTTTATATTTCCCACTTGGGAAATATAAAATATAAATATATATAAAAACAATGCAGCCATAAACGTTCTTATATGTGTCTTTTAGAGAACACAGCATACATGTAAAAGTAGAATTGCTAGGTCATGAGACAAGAGGATGTTGAGCTTAATATGTCAAGAGTTGTTCCAAAGAGGTTGCATCCATTTACACACCAGCAGCAATATGAGTCCTTACTGCTTCACGGTCTTAACAGGAATTGGTATTTCCTGTTTTTTTATTTTGGCCATTTTATTGAGAACTGCAATTTTTTCAAAAGTATCCCAGGTGATTTTAATAAATATTCCACTAGAATCAGAAACCTCTGCTTAACTGCTGCTTATCATTTATTAGTTTGAAGCACAAGAAACCACACTGGTTATTAGTTTAAAATAGTCAAACAGCCTGCTTCACGTGGTTCAAACTAATATTTCATTCACATCCTATTTATGTTTATACTAAAAATTCAACAGGCACACACATCAGTTGGGAAAGTTATTAAAGACTTAGGCAAACAAAGTTTTTGCATTAGCAATAAATTTCAGTGACTTATACATTTAATATCACTCAGATATTTAAGAGCTTGAACAATGATTTTCAGCTTTGCTGAAGATTAGAATCACCTGTGGACTTTTAAAACTTAAGTGCTTCTACCCAAACCCCTAACGTGTGAAAAATAGAGATATATTTGTACAGCCAATGTTGAGAACCACTGACATTGCCTATAGTGTGGTGTTATGGTTCAGATGTGAAGTGTGCCCCAAAAGCTCATGTGTGAGACAATGAATGAAGGTTTAGAGAAGAAATGATTGGGTTTTGAGAGCCTTAACCCAATTAGTGAATTAATCCCCTGATGGGATTCAATGAGTGGTAACTGGTGGTGGGTAGGGTATGGCTAGAGGAGGTGGGTTACCAGAAGTGTGCTGTTGCGGTATATACTTTATATTTGGCCAGAAGAGTCTCTCTTTCTCTTTCTCTCTGCTTACTGATTATGATGTGAGCCACTTCCCTCTGCCACACTCTTCCACTATGATGTTCAACCTCAGCTTGAACCCTGAAACCTTGAGCCCCTACCTAGACTTTTCCTCCCCTAAAATTGTCCTGGTCAGTCTTTTAGTCACAGCAGCAAAAAATATAACTAAAACATATGGCTCTGCTTTCCATCTATTAAGTCTAAAGAAAGACTTAACACTTTGATGACTATATGCAGGAGGCAGGAGGAAAGCATTGGGTTTCAGCACTTTCCAGGTTTTAGAATATGTAGCTGTATATTAAATCCAACAATTCTTTTCAACGGAAAGTTTGTCTTTTTGGACAGATCTCTCTATTGTACCTAGGATGGAAGCCTGAGGTTTGATTTGAACACAGTTCCATGAACTCAGATTAAAGTATCACCAAGGGTATTTAATAATTACATGCAGGTAGTTTTAAAAGTACCTATTCTCTATACAGTCATGCTAGCCAACAGGAGGACTAAGTGAGTAAATAGTGACCAGAGAAACAGGTGTGCCATACACTCTCAAACAAAACTATTATGAAAAATTTTCTTTTAGAATTTTTCCAAGACAGACAAAAGTCTAAGTAGTCATCATGGAATCTGGTCTTTGTACTTCTTTGGAGTTATTTTGCAGAGCAGGGTTAAAAAGGGGGAGGGTGGGCAATGGTGCTAAGGTTTGGGTGATCGAAGTACCAGAAATTTCTGAGCTCCAAGCCTTTAAAGTCTTAATCCAATCCTAAATCAGACTGTTTTCATGATCATTTCCTTACTCCTTCCAGTCATAACTGCATCTGTATTTCCTCATGCAGCAGAAAAAAAGTTTGGGAACTTAATTTTTTTTCCCAATATTTACCAGCTCTGGAATTATATTGCCATCTACATGATTCCCCGTATCCTTTCTTCTTATAGCATCACCAGCTCCTGAAGGTAGAGCATAGGTTCAGAAGTCAAAAGAACACTAATTCTTGGGCACTATTATTAGACCCTATCCCTGGCCACCAACAGACTCCCAGGCCGGGGAGGGTGAAAGCCTCACACACCTCAGTAGCCAGGGAGGTTTTCTTGGTCAGATGTCCTTCAATGGAATCCTGGCTCCTAGGTTTTGCTCCTAATAATCCCTTGGGGATGCTGTCTATTGGGTATTTTTAGGCCACTCCCGCATTCACCCACGCCTATGATAAGTATTTAGCCTCCAGAACCACCCTGGAGGATTAGAAGACCGCTGTTGGACCTGGCGGGATTCCCCACAAACCCCACACATCCCCGGTCCAGAGGAACAAGTTTCAATCGCATCCTGTGCAGCAGGTCTCTGGCTCAGGTGGAGCACCCCAGACAGCCAGTGGCTCTACTCGCCCCCCAAAACGAGTGGACCAGGGACCAGAGCATATCGCAACTCGGCGGCCCTCTGCCTAGAGCAGCGTGGGGGCCAGGTGCCTAGGCGCTCCTAATGACAGGGAAGGTCTCAATCACCGATCCCTCCTCTTAGCACCGAAAGAAGGAAGCATGGCATCTTGGGAGATGTAGTCCAGCCACCTCCCGAGGCTCCGCGGTACCCTGTCCTCTTAACGAGTCCCCTAGGAGAGATTGCTTGGTCCGAACCCGCTGATGCCCAAGCTGCCGTCCGAGTGTGGCCGCAAGCCGCGCTCCGCGGGGACTCGGGGTGTCTCGGGATCGCGGCTAAGGAAGGGGACTACACTTCCCAGCCGCCCTGCGCCGAGCAGGGAGCCGGCTGCTTGCTTTGCGTGACCGCGGCAGGTTGGTCCTGGAGCAGATGAGCGCAGAATATTTAGGCGAAAGCGAGAGGAGGGGGGGAGCGCGGGGCAGGAGGAGTACCTCGGCCAAGAAAATTATGCATGCGTTAGGGAAGCTCTGAGAGAATGGCTGTGGAAGGTAAGGGACGCTTGGGGCATTTTAAGCTCCCTCTTAACCCGCGCACCCCAATCCACACATCCCTGCTGAAGCTCGGCGATCGTGGGGAGGCGAAAAAAGGGGGTGGTGGAGAGTGGGCCCCTTCCTCCTACACCACTTGGCACTCACCTGAGCGAGGAAGGCCGGAAGGCGCATTATTGTCTTGCTTTGGAGAGACTCTGGGTGAGCAGGACTTTAGGGTAGGAGGTGAAGAGAAGAGTGCCCCTAATTCAAAACGATATGCTGGAAATGGAGGGAAAGCCGGGGAGTTCGGCATGAGGTTTCAGCCCCAAGGTGCCCTTTTATCCTGCCCACTCCTGTCAAGACAGACTGGGTGTCCCCTGGACTGGGGATGCTCACTTTGTCCCCCCCAAACGTGGGAGAGGACCCTGACCAGGTGCGTCATCGGGAAGCTTGGACTGCGATTGGGTCAAGGGCTATGCACCCAGTGTACCCAGCAACAGCGCAGCAGATGTACCCAGAGGGTGAAGGTGTCCCTACACCTGTCAGTGTTTATACAGCTCTCCAGGGATTAGTAAAGTTTACAGAAACGAAGTGGAATCAGCCTGGGGTGGGGGAACTGGAGGAAGACAACCCGCCTCTTTGGAAAGCCTTGGAGACCACCTTCCTCTCCCCCCCACCCCCAATTAATTTTGAACTTTGGACTTGCTAATTGCACAGCTCTGCCTCCTTTGAACTTCCTGGTTAAAAGTAGAGTCAGGTGATTTTGAAGGGATTCCAGTTCTTCATCTCAGGTTCATTTACTTTGGAACAAGGGCTTTCTCATTGATAGTACTTTCTGGGGGAGAGGAGACACACGTGGACCAGAAGGGTTTCTAATGTCAAATTAAGGGTCAAAGTGTGCCTGAATGATAAAGTGATAAAATCAAGGATCTAAGTGGGAGCCTACCTTCACCACCAGAGTTGTGCTTCTACAGAGGGGAACTGAGGTAGGAAAAAGAGGGCATGTCTGCCAGCAACAGCAGGCTCCTTGCCAAGGGGAAATGAGCCTGTTCGTTATAGACTAGAGACAAGAAGCAACCACATGGGCTTACTTGCTTCTGCCTCCCCTTCCTGTCCCAGGAGAGAGCAATTGATATAACCTGACTCTTGCTTTCCTTATAATTACTGTCTTAACAACCTAAAGTAGCAACAACCCAGCTCCTGTACTCAGAACCCATGAACTCGGGAAACTACTACCTATAAGCTGTCTCAGGTTCAGAGATCCTCAGCTGGCCGCTACCTGCTTTTCCAACCATATCAACAAAAATGAGCTTCATTCTTTCTTTCTCTCTCTTAGATACCGAGATAGATTGATCTGCCATTAAAAAAATAACCAAAGACTTTTCTAGTTTGTCTTTTCTGTGCAAACATAAAAATAGGGCAAGAATTTGTCTTTTTGCATTGTGACATCTGATTAAGGAGACAAGATTTCAGATACCTCAAAAACAAAAAGTCGAGGTAGAGCTCATTTTGAGCTTGAGACCAACGGTAGGTTGACCTACTGGAACCCTTCCACTCACTCATCAGATGACATTGATTATAATCTTTTTGCTTCTCTTGTGTCCCCAAGTGAGGGATACTCCCACTTGTTGGCAGTCCACTGTGTTATTTTTTTTTTAAGTTGTAGTTGGACACATACCTTTTTTAAAAAAAATATTTATTTTTATGTGGTGCTGAGGATCAGGATCCAACCCAGAGCCGTGCATGTGCTAGGCGAGCACTCTATGGCTGAGGCACAACCCCACCTCAGTCCACCGTGTTCTTGAAGACAATTTACTGATCACTGTAAGAAGTATAGAATTACTCATATTTCTTGTCTAATGGGTAATCATACCAGTGGAGCCAGACCTTACCAAAATAAGCTCTGAAAAGAAGTATGTGTGGAGTACAGAGACTTTGCTTTATTTTCTAGTGACTTATTTGGCTGAAGTGCCTATCTAGTAAACAGGAGATCCTGGTTCTGAATCACAATGAGCTCTGAACTTGAAAAATGAAGGAAGTGTTTTAAGCTTTGTTGAAAATGTGATTCCTGTCTCTGGTCTTTGCAGAGGCAGTTTTCTCAGCAGGGACTGGGACCTTCCTGGCTCCTCCCATGTCATCTTGCAAGGTTTAAGAAAAGCTTCTCTTCCTTTGGGAACCTGTTCCAGTCCTCCCTGTCTCTCTACCTTCCCGTTGCTTCCTTAGTACCCACCCATGCTTATATCTACCCTAGTATTTACCATACTTAATCTCTCACTAGACTCTAAGCCCTTGGGAGGTAGAGACCATGTGCTCTTTGATTTCATCTTCCCGCCCAATAGCATAGGACCTGGCCCATCTTGAGTACTCAAAAAATTCTTGCAGATTACATGGCAATACATATATTTATGGAGCTTTTATAACTGGCTCCAGAATAGTGTCTGAGGCTTTCTTAGCCTAAACAGGGACTTCTGAGATATTTGAAGATAGGGGGAACTTTTAAAGGAAGAACTCCTCCCTTCAGTCTTTTGTCTTGATGTTCAAAGAAGCAGAGCTGTGGTTTTCCTCTGCTGTTGAGGATGGCATTGTTCTTCTAGGACACATCTGAGATGTGTAGAAACTGCTATTGGGAGTTGCTGTTTGTATTTTGTGCCAGTGAGCTGGCGATGCTAAATGTCCTGCAGTGCTTGATAATCCCATACAAAGTTTTCAGGCCAAGACCATAATGACCACTTTACCCAAACCCCTTGAGAAACACTGATTCAGAGAATAAGGAATTTTGCTAGAGGAACTGGAGGAGGAAATATAGAAACTGTTACTTACCACCTGAGCTTTAGTTTCCACATCTGGAATAAAAATGGGCTCACTATTGTTTACTTCCTGGGAACATTGTGAGAATTGAATTAAATAAATGAAGGGTCTAATAGGAGGGTCCCTAGAATCAAGATTCTCAGGAAGTGTTGCGTGTACGCCCTCTCCTTAGAAAAAGTCATAGTATTTGGCACGTGTTTTGTATCTCAAATTTTCACTAATTCATGCCCGCCAGTCTTTCTAATTAGTAACAAATTAGAAGGATTTTATAATGTGTAACCTTTCTCTTAAGTAAACTTGAACTTGTAAAAGTGTTAATTGCAAGTAAGACACTCTTTCGTATTGCTGAATCTGAAGCTTTGTATTTAAGATGAAAAAGAGGTGCCATTTGTTTATTGTTTTATGGCTTCCCTGGGTTATATTTTCATCTCCGAATTTAAGAACATCCTACTTATGGTCCCTAGCCTTATTGTGACCTGTGCTTTGTTTTGCATTTATGGGCAGCTGAGCATCTGAAAAGTGTTTTCCAACCACAGAACAGGGCACCACTTTATGGTCTGTATTGGATTGGGATTATATTGGCATGTATTGTCTTTTTTTTTTTTTTAATGGAGAAATAGGACCCCTAGATAGAAGGTAGAAGGTAGCATGCAGGAACTACAGTCATCCATTCTCCATGGCCAGACTGTGTGGACAGTTGTGACCATGTGACTGATAAGACCTTATCTGAAAGAAAGAGATTGCAGTATTATACAGGAAGAAGAAAAATGTAGACTCATAAGGGACAGTTTTGTTTTCATCTAAGAGCAGTGCCTGGCACTTAGGACCTCCACAATAATTGTTTCATGAGTGAAATATATAAATGCCTGATTCCCCCAAGCCAGAGAAGAGTTTTTCTTCTTGTTCCCAGTTCCTCTCCTCCTTCATCCTTAGATTTTTATGAAAAAAGTAGGGTGGGTGAGCACTGTACATAGTGTTTCCATTCCAGGTAGAATAGAATAGTCCTCTTACATGGCAAAAAAAAAAAAAAAAAAATTCCAATTTTCAGTACCCCTCCCAATATTTCAAATGGAAGTTAGTGCACTTGAAGTGACATCTGTTGGAGGATCTGACTTTTCCATTTTAAGTGCTTGAATTGACTTATCAAGTGACCCCTGATAAGTCACTTGGTGCTCAAATTCTATAGTTTTTCTGCTGTAAAAGAGTGGAAAAAAGACTACCGATCACTGGTCTTTTTTAAGTCTGGGGGAAAATGTGGAAAGAGGTGCCTGGGTTTTGGAGGCCAGAAGATGCTGACTCTTCATCCACCTTGAATTGAGAACTTTGCCAGAGTTAAAGGAGTAATAATGGGACATTAAAATGTCACCTTCATTACAAGGGTATATGGGTAACTTTTTCTGGCTTTGTGCCAATGACCTTCAGGGGCACCTCCCTCTGTAACACTGACAGCCTCAAGAGCAGAGTATGTGTTCCCCCAGCAACCAGGTGGGACTGATCACCAGATAGTTGCCTCCTTTTGTCCTGAGAGCAGCCCCTGAGAAGATGTAGATAGAGACCAGAAGCATCATTCTGAAGAATTTCCCCTCATATGGCATGGGAAGCAAAGGAGAGGTGCTTCCTCCTGTCCTTGGGGGGCTTTCTGTCAATGCCAGCCCACCTGGACTTTTCTAACTACCTTGTCTTGTGGTCTTAGGCCTGGCCCATGGTAGACTCTCTGGAAAGCTTAGATGAGTGAATGGATGACAATTAAATTGCCAGGTGGGATTGTGAGTGCTTTTGATTTCCACAGTAGCTTCCGAAATGCTTCAGGAGAGCTCCCAACTGTATCATCTTCAGAGTAGGCATAAAAGCAGTGCGACTATGGACAAGTTTCTCTAATAGGTACTGAGCCTTGCAGGGCCATGGTGTTGTTAAACTAACTGCTTCCCTGTCCTCTACCATTTCATGTATCACCTAGTATCTTCTTTTCTTCTTATGATTTCCTTTTATTCTCTAACCTATCAGATCTGAGCTTCCTATCCCAGCAGTTTCTGTTGAGCACTCTGCTTTAGGACCTGAGAATGGTGACTAGACACTCATTGAGAATTCCTGTGCAGTGACTGTGTGAACCAGAAGTGGGGCCTCAAATCCTGGGTGGAACTTGCTGTGGCAGAGGTTCCTGCCACTCCCATGTCTTCCACAGCCCTCTCAGACAGGGCTTCAGTCTAATC